AATTATGAATGAACAGGAGTTGATGTAGATCACTTCCCATTTATTCATAATTGAGGATATAGTCAACATGCTATGTCCTCAATTATCTACAAACACTCAGCGATCACTGAGTGTTTGTACCCGCTCTTCTTCCTGACCACTGTCACAGGAGGCTGAGCGAGCGGTGTGGGAGGAGAACTCAGCCTCCTGTGACAGCACAGGCTGTCTCCGCCGCCACACTGCTCTGCCGGACTGTGACAGGAGGCTGAGCGGTGTGGGGGGAGAGACGCCGGCCGCTCACAGCGCTCTCCTCCCGCAGCGCTCGGCCTGCTGTCACACTTTCTCTCCTCCATGCTGGAACACAGAGCAGCGCCCAGCGGGGAGGAAAGAAAGCAGCGATGCCCCGATGTATCAGCACAAAAATTGCACTTTAGGCATTTAGCCAAAAGTGCCATTTTCCGCAGATATGTTTCGGAGGCCGATATATCGGTGCATCCCTAGAAATAAGTATTCCCTATGCTGCTATATGCCACCTACTGGCCATAATGGGGCATTACACTACAATCAACCTGAAAAGAAATCATACTAAGAACGGTCATTTTTGCCCCTATTTGCACAGAATGAGCATTCACGGCATTCGCAGGGTGAATGGCTCTACAAACTGTTTATAAATAGATCCCTTAGTCCCTTAGTCCCTTCTCAACCTTTCTAGGGCCGGGACCCCTTGGTAACATTTGCCAAGTTGTGGTGACCCCCAACGGTAAAATTTAGGGTTGACGCGGCTGCTGCAGCGACATCTGGCGGCGTGACGGGAGAACTGACACTGCTGAGCTAGGAGAGGGCCGAGGAGGACTCTCACCTAGCACAGCAGAAATCACACAGCGACCCACAGGTTGAGAACCACTGTTGTAACAGCTAAAATGGCCAACCATATAACATAAGCCGAGGGTGTCAGCTTTTATTATTAATAATAATGATGATAATCACTAGATGGGGACCTGATGGAGAACTGCAGGTATCCCTCTGCTGATTGACAGCAGCAGTGGGCAGGTGCAATAGCTAGTTTGCTATTGCAAAGTGAAATAGCCAATGGGAATCTAGCTATGCATTCCAAGCAGAGCACTTTCCGGGAAAAAGTGTTTCTCTCCCGGGCGGCCGAGAGCCGCTATCTAATAGTGGGAGACTCCTGGCGACCCCTGGCAAATTGCCATTCAACCCCCGAAGTGGTCCCGACCCACAGGTTGAGAACCGCTGCCTTAGTGTTTAGTTTTGTATTTTTAATCTCTGACACATTTGCAGAAAGCTAAATAAAAGCTACTTGGGGTCAGAGCTCTGTGTCTGGATTCTGGAAAGCATGACATACCAGAGCAGCATACTTAATGAATTTTGTATAATATTGTAACTGAAGGGTCAGACAACCCTAACCTGATATTTCAGTTTCCGGCAAAAACTGGACAATTAAACCACGTGACAGTATATTTTATCTCTTGGGGACACTACTGGTCTCTGTTATTGAGTTTCTGGAGCTGCACACTAATGGCCATGAAAAGAATTCCAGCTCTCTCTGTTATAGCTACAAATAGTAACTACATTTAACTGGATTGCAATGTTGAAGACATTAAAAGGAGAACTATGAGGTGAGTGAAAATCACTCATCCTCATAGTTTGAGCCGAGGTGTGGCAATTAAACTGTCACACGTTGGCTCAATAGATCGGGAAGTGAGCGAACGCATACCGTTGCTCGCTCACTTCTTGATCATCTCCGCGCAGAGAGCCGTGAATGTCAGTCACAGCTTCCTGCAGGGATTCCCCCCCTCCCCGATCCTCCAGTGCTGACTGGAGGAACGGACGGGGAGGGGGCAGGCACAGCTGGCTTTGCCTCAAGATAGGCAGAGCCAGTGGCGTAACTAGTGACCCCAGGGCCCCGATGCAAAAATCCATGAACAAATTAGATTTTTTTTTTTTAAACAAAATTTAGACATGGGAAAAAGAAAAAAAAACTTTTCTCTTTCATGTCCCCAGCTCCCCATTATCTCCCCCTTCATGTCCCCAGCTTTCCGCTCCCGGTTCCCATGTCACCTTCATACTTCCAGCTCCCTGTCTCCCCCTTCGTGTCCCTGGCAGCTCTAGTCGGCACGGGGCAGCAGTTCTGTGTGATGAGGGGGCGGGGATTACACCGCTCCCACTCATTGGCTGCTGCCGGGCTGGATGATGCTTCACGCTGCGCCCGGAACCAGGTGAGCCGAGGCCGCAAGGAACTGTGCCGGTCTCGTGCGGACGGCAATGCATCCCTGCCGCACAGCTGCCCGTACATGCTACGGGTGGCTGTGCAGGGATGTAGCGGCAACTCTCTGGAGGGGGGGCCCTCTTCTTCCTCCCTGGGCCCCCCCCAAGTGGCCGAACGCAAGGGCCCGGTCGCAATTGCGACCGCTGCGACCCTGGTAGTTCCGCCAGTGGGCAGAGCCAGCTGTCACTCAGGCAGCTGGGTGGATCTCAACAGTATTGTCAGGATCCATCCCGGCTGCAGCGATCTCAGTATACCACGAGCTGTAGCTCATGATATACTGAGCTTTGGGTCACGGGAGAATGCTAGTATATGTCCTCCCGTGACCCTTAAGAGAACTATGGGGAATAACACTTACCCCATAGTTCTCTTTTAAGTCTCTCTTTCAATTAGCTGCTAAGAAGTTACTTGGATGAGTGCCCAACATCTTCAGTATGAGGGCTTGTTCACAACTTCACACCATATACAGTGCATTCCAGTGTGGTGAGCACTGTATCGCATACCGGCCAGTTTCCTGCATTCAGGGACGAAGGGGGTTGGCGGTGCATTGAAGTCAATGGCACCGCAGCCACGCCCCCCCATCCGGCGGGGCAATCGCCCGCACCAGAACACGTGGCATATCAGTACCTGCAGTCTGGTCCAGTGCAATTTGAAAAAACAGTGCATGAAACTAGGGGGTTAACTCAGTCCACCTCCAAATATCATTTTGTGTGAACTGACACTTTAAGGTTTATGTAAGGCTACACTCCTCTATCCTTAATGGTTTGTTTTATTTTTTGAAGCACTGCAAATACCTGGTGATCCTGCCAATCCCCTACTGATCAAAGGGGTTCCTGTGTGAGACTGACCATGCAAAGTACAGAAGCAGATCCGTGCTAGTGTGGTCATATTGTGCCCTTTACACTTTTCAGGGACATACAGGACATATGGTGTGACTGTAATCCTATAGTCAGCCATTGACATTACAGGCTGACCCCCAATGGCAGCCTGTGAGAGCATGAAATGCTGGATGGAACGCAGAAAGCATGAAGGGAAATGTAGCTCCCCGACCACAACTATGTCATGGCATTGAATCCTTCAGTTGTAACTCCACCAGCTGCTCAGAAGAACAGCATTGTGAGGGAGGTGTGTGCGATCATGTGACCACTGGATTAAACTAATACTTCATGTATTTGGCAGCTTTGTTGTCACAATGTATTAAATATTTAAATAACTTAGTTTGTGTGGTAGCCAGCACGTTAGTTGCAGACTTCACATAGGTATCAAGATAGACACTGACACAGTTAAATCCATCACTTTCTCTGATTAGAAATCAGCTGATTTTTTCTCTCTGATTTTTTTGCTTTAAGCATACTCAAAGTCTGAAGTGCATGCATTGGGGTGGACCTGAGGTCTGAAGTGCATGCATTAGGGCTGACCTGAGGTCTGAAGCGCATACATTGGGGCTGACCTGAGGTCTGAAGCACGTACAGGGGGGCTAATCTGAGGTCTGAAGTGCATGCATTGGGGTGGACCTGAGGTCCGAATCGCATACATTGGGGCTGACCTGAGGTCCGAATCGCATACATTGGGGCTGACCTGAGGTCCGAAGCGCATACATTGGGGCTGACCTGAGGTCTGAAGTGCATACAGTGGGGCTAATCTGATGTCTGGAGTGCATGCATTGGGGTTTATCTGAAGCACATGCATTGGGCTGACCTGAGGTATGAAGGGAATGCAATGGGGCTAATCTGATGTCTGAACGGAATGCATTGCAGCTGAATTGAGGTATGAAGTGCATGCATTGCAGCTGAATTGAGGTATGAAGTGCATGCATTGTGGCTGAATTGAGCTATGAAGTATGTGCATTGGGGATGATTTGAGGTCTAAAGTGCATGCATTGGCGCTGAATTGAGGTTTGGACATGTTTTTGTGTGTGCACCAGTTAATCAGTTGTTGCTTTCATAGTTGTATTGCTAATGGCAATTAATAATCCTAATGGCAATTAATAAAACCCATTAATAATTATATACAACATATCATGAATAAGTTTAACTTGTCATTAGCAATACAACAACAACAACAACAATAGGAGCAAAAATTGAACACAAAGACAATGATAAAATATGATATATGATAAAATATTGGGATATATTTATAATAAAACGTCACCCAAAATTCACTAAATTTGAATCTATGATTCACACAAGTTTCTAATGGAATTGAATTAGAACAATACATGAATCCTGGGTGAAAGCTGTAAAAAAAACGTTTATAAATGTGGAAAAGGACCCCGTTTAAATCATGCTGTAGCACAGTAGCCACAACCTGCTGGGAAAAAAATTCAGATGAACTGTGTTCACTGTATTTGAAGTCTGAAATTCCCCTTTTTCTCAGCTGCAGACAGTAATGAAGGCATGAATGCTTTTTGGGGGGTTGTAAAGGTTTCTATGGCTGCTGGTTTAAATTAATAGACACCAACCCCCTGCAAGCCCCTAATTCCAAAGCTCAGCAGGACAAGAAGTTGTAGCTCTGGAAAAGGAGGATATCAGTGCACATACAGCTTAATAAAACAGATAGTTCCTTTGTTTTCTATCAATGTTATCAGTGCAAGGGTAATTGTGTGCAGATTAAGCTGCTTGTAATGTAAAAACACCATAACTGAGAAACAGAATCTGTCACAAACAGCACTCTTATCTCTCCTACCACCCCTAAGAAACTTGGTACATCCCTCTGCAAGTTGGCCAGTTTAAATAGAGAAGAAAGGCTGCACTTCTGCACAGTTGTTTGTGTGAGTGATCTGTCCTAGACATCACAGGGGGAATCAGCTCAGCTCTGACTTTGTAGTAGTATGGATCACACAGAGGTACTGAAGCCACAGACACTGGATGAGCTGATCCAGATCCTGCACCAGATCTTCTCCAGTGATAAAGTCAATATAGAAGAAGTCCAGAATATAGTGGAGTCCTATCAGAGCAATCCACTGGATTGGATGAAGTATGCCACGTTTGACCCATACAGGTACTTTATTGCCAGTGATTGCTGTGTCTTTACTTTTATCTCTGCTGATGCTGTAATAATTCAACTGACATATGGAGTGGTGTATGGTTTGTGGAGGGTTTGGTTTGCAATGTGTTAGTATAAAATGTATCTTCAGTTATTAACAATGTATTTAAATATAACTCATCGGATGTTAGAATTGAATTTCTCTCAGTTGTTGAGGACTTCCTTGCAAGTGTCTGGAAATTGATGATGAGGAAGCTGGCACTGACATTGTGGGAAGTCAGGGGGCTTGTAGTAGCTGGGGATCCAATTCACATCTTCAGAACAAGCTGTTATTTGGCAGAGGTGAGTATCATTGGGAAGCTTTAGTTCATTCATCTAGTTTCATTATTCTTCTCCAATTTTTAGAAGTTTGGGAGCCTTGGATTAATAACTGATGTACAATGTAAGCTAAAGCTGTACTTCGTGAGCAGTGTGTGGATTATTCTGAACATATAGTAGCCATAAATGTGTAGATGTGTATGTTATGTGTCCTATTGTGCAGTTGAAAAAGCAGTCGATGTTCTGTGAGCTTTTATACATATTGCCTTCTTGTAGCAATCTGTTGATGTTTACAGTTTTGTAGAGGTTTATGTCATGTGTCATATTGTGCAGGTAAAAAGTAGTCGATGTTCTGTGGGCTTTTATAATTATTGCCTTTATTGTAGCAATGTATTTGTAGATGTCTAATAGTTTATTTGTAAATGTTTTTGCCATGTGTCTTATTGTGCAGAATTATTATAAAAGCAATGTTTTGTTCGGATGTAACAGGTGATCAGAGCTGTATCTAGATGTGTTGGTGTCGCAGGCATGGCGCACACAGCACAGTGCGAAGTCGCTGTACATGCCACGCAGATGGGTGTGCTGGCAGCGCTCGGGGAGTGGAGGGGGTGTGTGCGGCCCAGCCAATCACATCTCATGGATTTTGACACAGTTGTTGCCAGATCAGCCTTGTAGTGATGCATGGCTGAACACTTTGCTCATCCAGATCCAGCCAGATTTTATTTTTCTTCCCTGTTTTCATGGTTCCAGGGACACCTGGTTTTATTGGCATTCTTTTTTTTTTTTTTCCCCACCACCATCTACCTTTTTAATGGAATCCCATGTCAAAAAATATGAACGATCCTATTGCTAACCTCTCACTCTGAAAATTCTGGTTGTTACCTCTCCATGTTGATCCAATTGCTTTAATACTTTCTGAGCACTGACCCTGAGCTAGTTTGCACACCAGGAGTTCAGACCTCACATTGACTTCCAATCTGATTGCTTGTCCTGTGTGACTCCAAGTACTGCAGCTAGAAAGGGACAGCCAATTTAGCATTTTCAGGGGGTCAGCAATGGCAGCCTCATTATTAATATTATTTTTAAATATTTATTTTTGCAGCACATGTTTCCTTTTCCATGCAGACACTAATTCCAATGGTTTAAAATGAGGCTAGTTCACACTATTGTGTTCAGCTATGTGAGCTCACCACAGTGTGATGCGGTTGTACTGCGTCTCACTGCAGGGTGCTTTAAAAAAAGTACTGCATGCCATACTTTTTAAACGCAAGCCACCAGAACACAGTGGTGTGAATGGAGCCCATCTGTGACAAAGCAATGTGCCCTGTCCTGCTTTCGGGCTGCATTGTAATAAACAGCCAGTGCTGCCCGATGCAGATAGTGGGAACCAGCATAAAGGTTTCTATTTTTTTTTTTTTTAAATAGAATTGGGACAGTTGAACAGGAAGGAAGGGTTACACGTGTCAAATGACCTGGAGTCTTGTTTAGGAACCATTTGCGTTGCACAATGCAATCTTTAAGCTAAATAAACCATGCCTGAGGGAACATTTGCTACTGTAAAGTATTCAGTGTTTGTTATTAGAGGGCAAAGTGCAGCACTCCAGTCACTGGACACAAGCAGATGGCTACAATTCACTGCACAGCAATCTTTGACCGTAGACAAGGACATGCCTGAACCTGGCAGATCTGTTCCAGCTGTGGGAAAAAAGCAGCTTCAACCGGATAGAGTTTAGGAGTGTGCTTTTTAGCACCTTAGGTAAATAACACACGACCAAAATGAATCTTGACATGTCGGTTTAAAAAAAAAAAAGAAATATAGTGCATGTTTGGCTACAAAAATTCTTTAATAAAGATTGCATAGAAATAGCTGGATGTACTTACAATAAACTTGTCCTGAGAGAAATCCTGTGAGCTGCAATTGCAAACTGCTTCCTATTAAAAATCTAGCTGTTTGGCTGCCATGCTTTGCATCACTGAACTTGGGTACTTGCTTTGGGTCAGGGATTCAGAAAGCATTGCTGCAGAGACAGCTTGAACTTTGAGGTCTGCCATGGCAGCCTTTGAGACAGACTTCTGTTAATCCACTCCCTTGTTAGCTCTCGTCTTGACTATTGCAACTCCCTCCTCATTGGCCTACCTCTACACAGGCTATCCCCCCTTCAGTCTATCATGACTTCAGCTGCTAGACTCCTCCACTTAACCAACCGCTCAGTGTCTGTAACCCCCCTCTGCTGATCCCTGTACTGGCTTCCAATAGCCCAAAGGATAAAATTCAAAATATTAACAACCACTTAAAAAGCCATCCACAACTCTGCCCCCGGATATATCTCAAACCTGGTCTCAAAGTATCACCCTCGCCTCCCCTCCGCTCTTCAAAAGACCTTCTGCTTTCCAGTTCCCTCATCAACTCCTCCCATGCTCGCCTCCAGGACTTTACTAGAGTCTCTCCCAGCCTATGAAACTCTCTACCCCCAACCTGTCCGTCTATCTCCCACTCTGACTGCCTTTTAGGCGATCCCTTAAGACTCTTCTCTCCCACCTCAACCTAACCACTGAAATATCACTTTCTTAAACAATTCATCCCCACACAGCTCCCTCCTAATGTATCACTTGCCCCTCCCTTTTAGATTGTAAGCCCTCACGGGCAGGGCCCTCCTTATCATCTTGTATTGTGATTGTAATGTCTTCCTTATATTGTTAAGCGCTGCACAAACTGTTGGCGCTATATAAATCCTGTATAATAATAATGCCCCATTCACCTCTGTGAACACACATTGCATATTGGCACTTGTCTGCATAGTGCATCCCATTCAATTCAATGGGTTGCCCTGCACATGGCAAAGAAGCTTGCGCAGAAGTTTGGGCTGTGAGCTTGGTATGTTTTTTGACATGCCTTGCATGCTGTGTGTGGGGTTCCAGTACCAAATAATTGCACACCAAGTGTGACACGCTATGTATGCATTGCATTAGTGTGCGTAAAGAGAATATGCTTTTGCATGCATTCACATGCACCTCCAGGTTTGAATGGGGCCTTAGGCTTTGCAGACAACTGTGATATGAAAGGTGCGGTAGTCCAAAGTGATCAACTTCTATTTTACTGAAGCCAGATTAATGCAAGATTAATTCTTGATACTATTAAACTGCACATTGATTAATGGCTTTATAGGTGTTCTAGGGAGGTGCTGTCCTCACTATAAATATTTTAAAGGAGACAAATGTTCCTTTTAGACTGATTTACCATAGTTGGACACCTGTTGCTCTTGGCATCATGGCCATTTTTTTCCAATATGACTTGTGCATGTGATGTAAGCAGTGGTTCCTTGATGCTGCTTGATGATTCTCCTAATGCAGGGTAAAAGCAAGTCATCTAGGCAATCCTCCAGAAGCCAGTAACCTATTTGCATTGGTCTAGAGGGGATGACGCAGGGGAAACTTACTGAATTATCTAAGGGCTCGTTCACACCAGATGCAGTGCGTTCCGGGCCGTTGTCGGCCGGCTCACTTTTTTGTGGGGCAGGAGGGGGCGTGGCGGACCATTGAATTGAATGGCACCGTAGCCACGCCCTCCTGCCGCAATGCGATTGGCCGCACGGGATCGCAAGGCATATTATGCCTGTGGTCCGGTGCGATCAAAATGCTGCAGGCACTATTTTGACCAGACCGCAGGCATAATGTGCCTTGCGATCCCTTGCGGCCGGAGGGCGTGGCCAGGGCCGGCCTTAAACTTTTAGGCACCCTGTGCGAGAAAGCTTTACAGTGCCCCTCAGTAACCACACCCATTTCTCAAATATCCGCACCATTTAAAGACTCCCAAAGAAACATATTAAAAATTATGATCAAAATAAAACTTTTAGTCAAAGGTACTAAACTTGTCGGCACAATATAAGTATTATCGCATAAAACAGTAGGCAAACAAGTGGTAAACAATCAATGTCAAACTAAAATAGTCTATAAACATAAAGTGTCAGGTTGTCATGCCGACCCTTTCTTCAAGTAAGTGTATCTAGAAAAGTAAAAATAGAAAACAAAACCTAGACTACATGTTAAATTAATGAATGACTATTTGCCCGAATATACGAAAAATGTATTCAGGCACATAATAATTTGTTTGAGATTGTATGTTGGCCACTGGCACCTTCTGCGAATACGTGCCACCATCTTGGAGGCGGGGAGCATGACGCCATGAATGCGTAGCGTCACGCCGATATAGGCGCAGCCATCTTGGTGTATAGCTAGATATACACCAAGATGGTGGCGCCCAACACATGCAGTGTTATATGACGTCCTGCCTACAGAACACGCCAGTGGCTGAATCCAAAATAGCATAAAAATTTGGGTTTTGTTTGATGAAACGAATGAAAACGTTTTTAGTTTTCGTTCATTTCATCTGAAATAAATTTTTAGTGTCACTTTTTTTTTAATTTTTGTTTTATTATAAAAAATGTTTGTACTGTTGGGGGTCTAAACAGACCCCTGACATTTCCCTTTTAAAATAGAAAAAGAGATTGAGGACACAGAGACCTCCAATTCTTTTTCTGCAGCCCCGGTATTCAATGAATGGGACGCACTCAGTACAGAGGCTTCCCATTCATTCAGAAACTGATGATGGTAAAACATTTACTATCAAGCAGTTTGTGAATGGGGAAATGCCTCTGTACAGAGTGCTACTCCCCATTCATAAAATCATGAATGAACAG